TTTAAAAAATTTGTTATAAGCTTATAATGAAGTTGATATCCAGATCCTAGAATTCGTTATATCAAGAGTTCACTGTAATTTTTTAATAGATAGATAGTAAGTTACTTTGCATCAAATTTTATATAAAAAAAAATATTAAATATATTGAAAATTTGTCTTTTATTTGTAAAGGCGAAATTCAATCATATTTAATAAAAGAAGCATAAAATGAAGATACTAACCCATTCCAAAAAGCTAGAATTAGCAAAAAAGTAAATATGATTAGCAACCTTAAAGAGATGTCACTTTATTCAGTGAAGTTTCTGGTATATTGGATTCTTTTAGTCTTCTTGTTATAACAAGAAAAAACGTTTTTACAATAAAATAAAATTATCTGTAATTTCTCTTAACTCAATAATTAAAAAATGGCAAAATCTCAATGATGATCTAAGAAAATCCATAATATTATATGGTTAGACTCAACATGGTATATTTATTTTAAAGGCACCTATTACTTTTATTGATAACTTATGTAATTATTCTTAATATAGGACTTGAAAGCAATGTTTACGCTTTAAAATGGGAAGGTAATAGCATCTATCTATTTGAGTTGGTCGATAAAGGCATAATCTTTTGAGAATAAATGCAGACTTTTTGAAGATTTATATTGCATTTTTAAAGAATTAGAAGTATGTACACTTATTCTGTCATTATTAATTAACAATTTATAAATGCATAACCAATTCAATTTTTTGTAGAGAAAATTAAAGAAGACTGAAGAAAATATCAAAGCTTTGAATTTACTAAATGTAAGAATTAAAAGGAGGAATTTAAGTATAGATATCACATCTGAACTCAACTTAAATAGAACATCAGAAAAACTTTAATTTCTGTTATTATAGCATTATTATTCTTGGCAGTTTATTGTCATAATATTCACACTAGTCGAATAATAACAAATAGGAGACCAATCGGATCAAATCTAGGTTATCACCAATTGGTAACATTTTATTAAATTTATTTAATACTCATAATAATATTTTATACTAATAAGTAATTCCAATTAATTATAATAAAAAGAATTTTTATTAATATAAAATATCCCGATTGATACAATTTATATAAATTTAAATATATTTGAAATTTTACCGATTTATTCAGTATTTATTATAAAATCTACCGATTTCTATTTATCATTATAATCTGTACTACTACTATTATACTTAGAAAATACCACACTTTTACTCCTTTTAATTCTTTTCTTCTTATTATTTCTACCTTCATTATCATCATTATTTTTATCAGATTCCTCTTCATAATTGGATTTATCTTCACTATTAGATTGCCTCCATAATCGAAATCCTCCTGAAATGGTTCTTCCTGAGTGGTTTCCTCCTGAATAGGTTCCCAATATTTAAAATATTTGAAATCATCAGATTTCTGATTATCATTTTCAGAATGATGTGGAATATGTTTTTCCACAAATGACCTTAATGATCTGGTATATCCAGATCTTGTCCATTTAGGAGTATTTACCAGTGCTTCATTTTTACCAGCCACAAAATAGGTATCATCATATACCCTTTTTCTAGTTCTACGTGCTTTTGATAATTTAGAGTCTTTATTATCCACATAGACTTGCAAAAACAATCACAACTATTAAAAATAAAAAGGATAAATTAATACAACCCGATTGATAAAAATAAAAATAAAAATTACTTACCGTAGATGATTACCATTTGGGTTCCTGAATGATGATTTATCTTTTATTAGGATTTTCATCGTCAATTTCTGAAACCTTTAGGCTATGATATCAATTATCGGTTCGAACTGGTTGGAGTTTATTATTATAAATTTTTCCAACCAGACGGTCCTTTAATCTAATAACTCTATCAATAGTTCTTGCTCGTCATTCTCATTTCTAATATTTTTTTTTAAAAAAAAATTTAAAAAAGGTTATTTTAACAACTAATCTGACTGTTTACTTATTTCATAACAATGTGTATTAACGTGCTTTCTTCTCCTTTAAAAGTCATTCCATTCATCTCCTTTCTGTCTCTTAAATACTTCTTCTCTTTAGTGTTAATGGTATTCATAAATAATGCACTTTATTATGGAGTCTGACATCAGAAATGTTTTTTTATTGATTGATTTTTGTATAATCAATATCATATAGTTATTAACCAACTTTTGTTTGCTTTCAAAGGTTCTGTTAACATCTAACCTTTGGTTTTCAGGAAATCTATCAATGATACTGATTATTTCAGACTAATAATAAATTGTAAGTCAGTTAGTAAATAATTTAGACAAAATTATTCAAATAAAAAATAAAATATAAGTACCTTTAATGTATTTCGTAATTCCCTATTCATACTTTTATAATAAATATATAAGGTTTTTGGAGAATCAGATAGGAAAAAAGGAGACAAGAATCGATCCAGACTGTTTTAGTCAAAATGATTACTGATGGATTTGGTACGTTGTCTTTATGATGATTTTTCATGCGTTATTACCTAAAAATATAAAGAAATGTAAGAAAAATAGTAATAATCTACCAATTATTTGTTTATTTGCCTTCTTATTTTTAGGTGCTCCTTTTCAACTTTTTCCTTTATTAAAGGTATCTGAACTGTCAGAACTGTCAGATGATGATGATGTAACTGCTGCAGCTTTTAAGGAACCAGCCTCTCCGTATTTGAACTTTCTGATATATCAGCTCTTGTTGGTTTTTTTTTCTTCTTCAGTTTTCTTTCCTTTACCCTTTATGACTATTTTTACCAATTTGGCAATTTCATTTATTTGGTCTTGTAAAGCAGTTACTGTATTATTAAAAAATAAAACAATTGGTTAATTTCCTAACTAAGAATTTTTGATTAATAATATATATATATAAACAAATAATACATATGCCGATTATTGACTTTTATTATTGTCATCCTTTTCTTGAACGATATCAATCAAAACTGGTTTTTTTGATTGTCTTTTTTTCTTTACATTGGTCTCTTTATTCTCTTTCACTGCTTTTTTAGTCTTTTTGTTTTTTATTACTTCATTTTTCATCATCAAAAGATTCTACTTCAGAAAGAGGATGTTTACTAATTTTTTTTGATCAATATTGAAAATAAAAATAAAATTTAATATTAAAATAATAATAAATCGGTAAAGAAAAAAAAATTAGAAATTGAATAGGTAGGAATGGTAGGAAAGGTGATATATTTATATATTTCAAAAATATATTTTGAAATAAATTATTGCTTTGTAATACAATTATAATATGAATCGGTATTGTATTAATAAAAATTTAAGTATTAATAATAGTATAATACAAATCGGTAAAAAAATTTACGATAGAACTTTGAAAATTAGATTTTACGATTTATACAAATCAGTAAATTATATAGAATATTTAGACATTACAATACATATAATACAAATATAATAAATATTAAATTAACAATAATACATATAATACAAATAATAAATATTAAATTAACAATAATACATATAATACAAATCATTGATATTTTCAAATTAATGATAATACATATTGAAAAAAACTTTTTGTATATACATATTTTAATAAATTAAAGTATTATTATTGATAATACATGAAATTTTATAACTTTATGTATCATGTAAATCAGTGATATTGTTACAAATTAACGATAATATATATATGTAAATCAGTGATATTTTGAATAAATTAAAGTATTATTAATAAATTAACGATAATACATACATTTTGTATTATACAAATTGGTGACATTATTAATAAATTAAAATATTATTTTTGATAATATATGAATATTAGACTTATTGTATTATACAAATCAGTGATATTATTAATAAATTAAAGTATTATTAAAAATTAAAAATAATACATATTAGAAATATACTTTTTGTAAATATATAAATAAGATATAATTATCGATATAAATCGGTAAATATTTTTTCTTTCTCTAAATTTTTCAACAAAATGATAAGATCAAAAAGAACCCATTTTTATAAAGATAACACGAAAGATCGCAATATTATTCCTAAAGCTACAAATATGTTAAAATCAAAAAAATCCAATAATAAAGGTTTCGCAAAAGATTATATTACTTCTAAAATTAGGCTTTTAGTTGAATGAAATATATTTTACATTGCTGTGGTAGTAAATTAGTTGATCCTAGAATATTTAGGAAATACCAGCAAAAATTAGAAAAATTTTATGCCATTAATTCTGAATCTCAGCATTCTACTTGATCAAGAAGAATTAGAAGCAATAAGGTTGATATAAAAATATAGGATTTCCATTTAAAATTCAAATTGAATTTCAAATATTTGAAAATTTTTTAAAAAATATTCAAATGAATATTGAAATTATTTAAAATATCAAAAATCATTTCAAGTAGTGATACCTGATTAAACTCTTTTTTGAAAAATTATAATTTGATTTTAATTATCAAAATATATATTTTTTAATTTTCATTTTTTAATATTTATTTTTAATTAGTTATTTATAAAAATTATAAAAAAATTTCATCTTAAAATTTTTAAAAAATTTTATTATTTTTTTTTTTAAAATTATAAGAATTTTCTCTTCTAATAAGATAAGTTTCTTTTGAGGTTTTCAAAGATAGGTTTTTTTTCTTTATTAATAATACTAATTTTTTTAAAAATTTATACACCTAATTCAAAATATAAATTAAATATATATGAATTAAAAGCATTAAGATATTTTTATTTTAAATTATTTAATATAAAAAAAAATGTATTATAAGTATTAATTTATTTTATTTTTATTATAAGATTATTTATTAAAAACTTCTGTTAAAATTATAATTAAAAAACTCTTAATTCATTAAGTAAATAATAAAAATAATATGGTTATCTTAAAATAAAAAATAATAAAATTATTAGTTCTTATTGATTAAACATATTAAATAGGAATATTTCCAATAAAATCAAGTCATGAAGTATAGTAAATCATATGATCGGTAATGTGATTTTACTGGAAACGCTCTCAAATAATAAAATAATAACTATTTTGTTATTATAAGTAAATTTTATTGATTTTATATATAATTTTATTATTATTTCTTTTATAAAATTAAAAGTTAAAATATATGAAAATTTGGAATTATTTGATTAAATTGAATATTTTTTAGTTTATATTATATATATAATAAAAAAAAATCTTGCAATTATATAATAGATTGCTAATTTATATATTAATAGATATCGATATTATATTAAATCTTTTAATGATTATACTTCTCATTAAGCTGATTTTTTAATGAACTAATATATGCAAATTATAAGATATCTAACTTTACAATTCTAATGTATACACTTTTCTTTATTTTGATTATAATCTTCATTTTAAAGAAAATCAGAAAAAGAATTTACTTCAGAAAAATTTATTATTAAGAGAATAATTATCATTTTCTTTAAATCAAACTATTGAGTTTTTCTTTGAATGTAATATTTAAAAACTAAATTAACTGATTTTCTTCTTTTATGATTCATCAAGAAAAAATTATAATAACTTTAAAGATTATATCATCTGCTTAAAGAAGAATTACTTATATTTTAAGAAAAAAAGTATCAAGAAAATTATAATAAATTTAAAGCTAAGTCATTTAATTAAGAATCTTCAGATAATTATTAATATATTTTCAATTTATTAAATGCTGATAATTTGAAATAAATCTTCATCTTTTTGTATTTCTTTTCTTTTAAATTTCTATATTTTTTTCAATTTTAATATTATTTAATAAAATTTGCATATTATTATTATTTGTCTTTTACTTATTTAATTTTTCAAAAGTTAACAATCATACTTTTGACTCTTTTACTTTTATTTTTGTTTTTTTCTAAATAAAAATTTGTTATTATTATTTGTTATTATATATTATCATATCATATAATCAAAATAAAATTTCATTTTAATTAAAATTATTTTTAAGTTCAAAATATAAAAGGTGTGAATATATTGTAAGTAAAATACTGTTATTTATTAAAAATCAATTGCTTTATATACAATTTTATATAAAGTTTAAAAAAAAAAATTAATTTAAAAATAAATAATTTATTTTATTTATATTATTGCAGATTTCTTAACATTTTTTGCGTTAATTTTAGTAATTACATTAAGTTTTAATAGTTTAATATAAATTATGTTAGTTTATTTTAGTAAGTTTTAATTTTAAAAATTATTTTGAAATTTTGTATAATATTACTTAATATTGATTTTTAAGACAAATTATAAATAATTAAAATTCCAAATATAGATTTTAGAATATATTTAAATAATCAAAATTTCAGATATCATTTTTAAGATATATTCTGAAAAATCAATATTTCTGATATTATTTTATGATAAATTTCAAATGATCAATTATTTTAAACATCAATTTTTATCTCAAATTTATAATATCTAATCATTTTTCAGATATTTTTAAGATGTATCTGAATATTTTCAATAGTATTTTTTATATGTTTATTTTATAGAAATAGTTTCTTGATTTTTTATTAATTATTTTTTGATTTTTTTAAGATAGATCTTTACAAGATCAAATTGATAAGTTTTTTTCTTTTAATGAATTCTTTATTGTTTTTTTTAAAGTAGATTTTTATTAATTTAATATTTTTTTTTTTTTTTAGGAATGAATCTTTAACATGATCAGATCAATAAGTCTTTAGATTTTTTAGATTTTTTTCAGATAGGTCCGTTTTACTAATAATTCTTTTATTTTTTTTTAAAATAGATTTTTTATTTTCTTGAATAGATTTTATAAGTATTTCAGTTCCTTTTCTTCAGAATGGTTCTTAATTTTCTATTAATTCTTTTTATTTTCTTTTTTAGAACTAATCTTTCATTTTCTAGATAATTAGATATATCTTTAAGCATTTTGGGATTTCTAATTCTTGATTTTTACCAATTCTTTTTTTATTTTTTTAGAAATGAATCTATAAATAAATAAATTATATGTATAATATTATTTTTTAGATGTTTTTTAATAGAAATTTTAATTTATTACTACAAATAATTATATTAGTATAATTTCAATTTATTATAATTTAAAAATATAAAAAATTTTAATAAAATATATTTATATTTATAAAAAAAAATCATTTTTTCTACTTTAACTGGTTTCAAATTACTTTTTTTACTAGAAATAACATTACCTACAGCTGAAAACAAACGTTCATTAGGAACTGATGTTGCTGTTATTCATATTCTTTAGCTAATTGACTTAAAAAAGGAAATTTTGTAGTTGAGTTAATTAAATAAAGTTAGTGATTTTGTGATTTTAAATTGATTGATTGGTTTGAGTTTAGATAAGTATTGATAATTTAAGACTTGAGAAGTTGAACACTTAAAATTGAATGCAAAAAATTGAACACTTAAAAAATTGAGTGCGAAAATTTGAATAATTAAGGTTTTGTTGGCTAGAGATTACGGATAAAGAAAGAGAAAGTTTTTAAAAGTTGTTTTTTTTGGTGGTTTTTGTTATATTGGTAGGGGGTTTGTGGTAATTCTTTTGAGTCTTTCGTATTCTCTTATCATATCTGGGTCTGTCATGAAGGCTGTTTTGTCTAGTATGAGTATTTGAATATTTTCTCAGTTGAGGCATCTGCTTAAGGTAATATATGCTTGTCCGGTTGAGAATATTTGGTGGTCTAGACTAACAGATATTTGGTTTAGGATGAGTCCTTGGGTTTTATGAATGGTTAGTGCATAGCTGTTTTGGAATGGAAATTGGCAGTGGGAGGCTTTGTTCCCATCGATGGTGAAGTGATGTATGGTCAGTTTTATGCTTGTATCTATTATGCCGCCTGGTACGCTAAATGAGGCTCAGACTATATTTGTTTCAATGTTAATGTTTGTGATGATTCCAATTGTACCATTGTAGATATTGAGGTTTGCTTTAGAATTGTTAAGGAACATGATTTTGGCACCTTGTTGGAGGCGGACTGTGGAGGGGAGATTTGTTTTTGATTTAAAGGTTTTTTCAGTTATGTCTGCGTTTCATTGTTCTTCGTTTATTATATCAATTGTTTGGGAGATCATGTATCCTTCTTGGGTTGTTGGTAGAGCGTTATAGATTAATCAGTTTATTTTATCAGTAGTTTCGCGATAGCCTACTATATTTGTAGTATTGAGAAGGAGGTTGATTGGTTTGTTTAGGTTGAATTGCTCATTTCTTTCTTATAGTTTTTTCCAGATTTGGACTGTTAAGTTCCCTAGACAAATTTTTTCTAACATGTTGTGGAATTCTGGTTGGTTTTGTTAGCGGTGAGGTTTGTGAAGAAAGAGAGGTAGAATAGTTTCTATATTGATGATTTGAATACGGAGGATCCAGTTACCGGTGGTAGTTGTGCTAGGTCACCGGTGATGATGATGCTGATTCCTCTGAATGCTAGGGTATTTTGGTGAATAGTTACGAGGGTATTTGATATGAATTTAAAGAGTTCTTTTGATATCATTGAGATTTCGTCTATTATTATAACATCGATCTTTTTTAGTTTTTCTTTTAATTTGTCATCATAATTAGCTAAGGTTTGGAAGCCTGTTTGTGTTGAGATTATTTTTAGTTCAGAATGTATAGTACTTCCTCTTATATTTTGGGTGGCTATACCTGTGGGTGCCATTAGGAGGTATTTTTGATCTTTGTTTTTTATTGAATTTATGAGGAGATGAATGATGTATGATTTTCCTGTTCCAGCGGAGCCTGTGATGAAGAAGTAAGGCCATTTTCGTTCTTCTCTTTTTCCTAAATAGGATGTAATGTTGTATTGGTCTGTCGATAGTTGATGGATAATGTTTTTGGGTAGGATTGGTAGTAGTATTTTTAGGGATTCGAGTTGGATTCTTAAGATTTTTGTTATGTTTATTGATATGGTATTTTTTAGGTTTGATATTAATTGGTCTAAGATTTCTGAATATCTTAGATTCATTATTTGTCTTGTTTATTCAATATAGGTTTGTATTCTATTTTGGATTTCTTCAGTCATGTTTGGAAATATCAATATGTAACGATCTCAGAAAGTTGAGTAATTTTCTTTTAATTCTTCTTTACTTCTTGTCAGGATGGTATTTAACAGTAGTTGGTAAAAGTATAGTTCTCTGTCGATTATTTTTGTGAATTGGTTATGGATTATTATTGGTTTTATTCTTTTAATAATATAGTTTCCAAGTTGGTTTTCATATATGTTTCTTGTTGTGTTAGTCAGTTTTTATTTTTGGATTATGTATCTTTCGTAATATTGGGGATAGATAATTTGGTTAAATATAATATCTGTGGGTCTTTTCATGTATTTTTCAATAGTATCTTTATAGTTTGGATCATCTTCATTTTTATTTGTTAGTAGGTGAATTGGTAATACTGCTTTTTGTCTAATATTTGGAGGTTCAGTATTTAGGTATTTTACTTGAATCAAGGAATCGCATATGGTTTCACCTAATATTAGAAATATTACTTCCATTGCTCCTAGTCTTTTTGCGACAATGTATTCTCTAATTTGTCATTATTTGTGATGTTGAAGATGTGGGAGGGTTCTGCTTTTGCTATGTATTTAGTAATATATCTGGCAAATCCTTTTGATGTGATGTATTGAATGTTCATGTAAGCATTTCAAATTAATAAAGTTTATGGTGGTAGGGTACTATCCACTGGTCTGCGAGTTTTGTGCATTTATATATATATCTATAGGAGCTTTGTTCAAGGTGTGTGATGTCTGAAAATTGTTGTGGAAATCCTTTCTTACATTATTCTCTGGGTGGAGTAGGTTCACCACATTTGAGAGTGTTACATCAGTGTATTTGGTATGCTAGGACTTTTTCATATAGTTCTGGTTCTTGTTCCAGATCTGGAAGGTTAGAGCGTATAACGTTATCTTAGATCATAGTTTCAATTGGTTTTGTGATCCAATAGCATCTGTGAGTGTGAGCTACACCTTTATTTTAGAATTCGATTTGGTCAAAGAAATCGGTTATTTTTCCATCTGCTAACTTTTTCATTTTTCCATACTTCTTTCTTTAGTGATCTGAATTTGTGAATGAAATGGAGAGTGGTATATAGGGGTCGGTTAGTTGGATTGGTATTGTTGTTATCAGTTTGTTGTAATATATCTCAGAGTTTAGTCCATCTGTTTTCTGCCATTGATAGAGTAATGAAGACTGTGAGAAGTCCAAGTTTTTTTAGTATTGAGTTAAGGTGTAGCTCTTTTTCGTGAAAATATGAATCTTCTGTCCTAATGAAGGTTGGTATTGCTATGGTTAAGTTTTCGTTTATGTGGTTTGCATTTGAGTAATTGTTTTGTTAGATTAGTTGAATTGATGATGAAAGTGGGCGTAATTCTTCTATGTTTTTTTGACGTAGTATGCATTGGGTATTTTGATGGTGGTGAAGTTTTTCAAGTTATAGGTAAGTATGAGATGGCTAATAATGATTGAGCCTAAATCTTGGGTCATTTAGAAGTAACATATGTTTTGCATATTTTCCTAGGGTTTCCAGTTTGTTTTCATCTGATAGTGAGTTATTTTTCATGTCATAAAAGTGTCCTTTATCATCAGGAAATAGGTGAGGAAATAGGAGGGATTCGAGATTCAGATCGTAGATTGAGATAGGAAGTGAATTGTTATTATTGTCGTGGATAAATCCTGCCATTAATCGTGAATAGTGAAAGTCTTTGTTATGAATCTCATTAGGTAAGTTTTTGCTATTGGTATAATTATATCATTTTGATTTATTGGGAGTGCTGTATCGTCATTGGGAATATGGGTTGCAATTAAAAAGGGTCTGATATAGTTGTAGTTGATCTTTGATTTAAAATATTTACATAGTTACGTAGGTAGGGGTTATGCAAACTTAACCAGAAGGCTGCACGTAGGAGTGTGTTATCTAGGATCTGTTCGTTGAAAATGTGATTTGGGTTTAATGGTTGTAAATAGGCTCCTATTGTACTTGAATAGAGTGCTAGTATTCTGAAATTGATTGAATATCCTATCGTACCTAAGATGTTATGATATTCAGAATAGGTTGAATTGGAACCTGAGTTTCTTCCTAGGAAACAGTGTAGGTGTACGGGAAATAGAAATTTCCTAAGATGTAACAGAACAGCTTGGATTTCATCTGGAATTTTGGCCAATACTGGAAATTGAAGCCTGTTTTGTGGTTTTACACAGGAGCTACATGAAGGTATTTTAATGATTTATTTTCTTAATGTACTGTATTGTTCTAGTGCATTAACTTGGTTTATTAATTCAATAGGATAGGTTTCAGAAAGATTATGTAGTATCAATTTGGCTTTGTTTTTATATAGTAATCTTCCACAGTAGACACATGGGAAGTTAAGATATTCTTTTAATATACTGGATTGGAATTTATCATAAATGCGTTTGAACGTTTTATTTTGTCTTCATGGGTTGTAATTATTGAAAGTTTGATTAGGAGGAAGATTTAATGAGTCTATATTAGGCTAGTCATACGATTATTGTAAAGTTTTTGAATTAATGGTGAAATCGATTGTACTTTCATTAGGGATGTCTATATAGTATTCGTTATATAGATGGTGGGTCATATCTTTTTTTTTATATTTTAATTTAATCGATTAGGAAATTTGTTTTTTTTGTATATTTTATTTTTTAGATCTCAGACTAAACGGAAAAGAAAAAAATGTTATTTATTTAATGATTAGTAAATAAATTTTTTGTTTAATGATTGTTCAATTGTAAATTTTTTTATTTTTGATAATTGGTTAATTATAAAAAAATTACAGAATTAAGAAAAGATTTGAATAAAAAAAAAGAAGAATAGAGTGAAATGGTTTTTTATATTTGTTTGATAATTAAGAAGATGGTTACTATCTGTTTTTCTCAATTGTTTGGTTAAAAATAAAAATGAATAATTCATAAGATAAAACTATTATTATTATTACTAATTAATATGAAAAGAAATAAACCCTTCAGAATGATCTGATAGTTTCGTTGTTACTGATTATCAGTGATAACTGATTCTTTATCAGTTTGGTCCTTTGATGGAGTTTTTGACGATTTTTGACTTGTTTGATTAAAAGATGTATTAACTATGGCCTAAGCTAACACTCTTTCTGAGATTTGTGTTGTTGTTAACTATGAATATTTAGAAAATGGTGAGGTCTTAGTTGATGATTCAAGGTTTGCAATGAACATTGGCAAGAAGTTGACGTCTTGAATATCAACTTGAAATTCAGAATCGACTTGAACCAATTCACCTGTGATCAATAGATTTGAGCTCCTTCTTGTTTTGATAAGTTTTTTGTTGATTCTTTCGTCAGATTTCAAGTACCTATACTTAATTTGAAATTTTTTTCTTGAACTTGTACCTTTAGTAAATTCATTGACAAGTATTTTAATGCTTTTAAACATAATATCTTCATTTTGAACTGATTCGATAGCAAAGCCTGTAATAAATACTGAGATGGAGCTGATGGGTAAATGATTTTGATCCAACTCAATTAAATCACGCGTTTACTATCACCTGATAATTAATATAGGTGGAAAGGTAAGATATTTTTCTTTTTTATTTGAATGACTGAATGATTAAATGATTGAATAAATAGTTAGATGGATAATTAATTATTTTTATTACCTCTAATGGATTATGAGGGGGTAATTCATTAAGAGTAAATTTTCCTGTGAATCTTAATACGTTTTCAGGAACGAATAAGGGGACCCATCTTGGTACTGAAGAGTCTTTTGGATAAAATGCAGTTATTTTAATATCTATATTTGTGTCTTCTTCTCTTCGAATAATGCCAATCACTTCTCTTACTATATAGTCTAAAGTATCTCTTTCATTAGTTGAATCGATGATACAAATAAAGGTGAGTTTGGCAGGCATAATTTTTATTTTATTTTAAAAAGAAAAGAAATCAATAATTGATCGATTGGTTTCTTTTCTCCAAGTTTATTTTTTTTTTTATTATTATTATTATTAACATTTTGTTTTTATTTATTTGTTGTGCCTATTTCATTATTTTTTCATGCTTATTATTTATTTATAAAGTCAAATTTTTTCTTTCTCATTGTACTTATGAAATTTCGTAAATGTTTATCTCGTTTGTTTGTGTGAGAAAATCATTTTGCGTTGTCTAATAATCTGATCCTTTTATTTTTTTTAGTTATTTACTGAGAAAAAATGAGAAAAAAAATCTAACGCTAATATTTTTATGGTACTTTTATGTATGCTTTTTGTGTGTAATACAATAAAGGCTTGGGAAAAAAATCCATGATTTTTTTGATTATATAAGCACAATAAGCCAATTTTTTAATATATTGAACCGTTATTCGTAGAAAGCCAAAGCTTCGAAGCATAAAGCATAAAGCTTTAATTGTTGTTGATATGAAGCATTAAGCATTAAGCATTAAAGCATAAATCATTAAAGCATAAGCTATAAAAATGACAATAAGTCTAAACTATATTTGGGCAATAAAACTAACCAAAAGTCGAATTCATTGGTTAGTATGATTGACATTAATTTTAGTTATTCTGATAAGCAAAGTAGTACAAGCTTTTCATCGTTCTTTTCTTTAGGCTAATTATTGATCGTGCGTTATTTTCTGACGCGACTATACATGCGCAGTTATATCCGTTATGCTTTTAAATATACTTACAAATATATATTGTGCAACAGATTTTCATATAGTCTTATATCGAGGAGTGAGAAAATAATATAAATTGAAGGACTAGACCCTTCTCGATAAGACAATTAGAGAACAATATAATTGAAATCAATCATGCGAAATTTCTATGGTTAAATCGAATGTGGACTAGTTGCGATATAGTAAATCATATGATCCGTAACGTGATTTTTATAGCAAACTGCCCATGAATTTAATGATGAGTATGCATATCTCACACATCATACGAAAAGCTTTCATTCTTTCAACGAGATGTGTACTTTCTCACTCATAAAGATAAATGTTTAACTTATTCAAAATTATATAGGTATTCTTTAAGAAATCGATGGATTACCTGTTTTTTTTTTTTTTTTTTTTTTTTTTTTTTTTTTTTTAATATTGTTTATATGGCTGAGCCCTTTCACATTATTATCATTTGATAGCAGCTGATCATCTGGTGATACTTGATATCATAATTTTATTGGATGTTGAATTAGCCCATAGATTACAAAAAAAAAAATTATTTAAGCAAAGCTTTGAAGTTAATTCTCCCATCCAAAGTGAAACTGCGAGTACAGTTTAATTTATAGTCCATTTTTATTACTACTACAGGATAGCTGTGGTAAATCTAGAGCTAATAACATGTTAATACTGACCTCTAGAAGGGACGTATGCATTTTTATTAGATAAAAAACCAAACATCGGTTGACCGATTTTCTTGGTGATTCATGATAAATCAACCTTTCGAGTCAACTGACTTCTATGTCAAATCATTCAAATTCCTGTCCTATCAACTTTCGATGGTAAGATAGAGTCCTACTATGGACAACAACACCGAGGAGAACCTGAAAAATGGTTATCATCCAATCTAGGAAGGCACCAAAATTGGGTTCAAGATTAAAAGCAATTGAACATTTAATACCATTAAATAATAATTCAACAATGGTCGACTCAACGCATTTTCTCGCTCAAAGACGCAGCGAAATGCTCAGTAGAAACAAACGCATTGGCTCGCAGTTTTCGCAGCTGAAAAACAAAATAAAACAAAATAAAATTTTTTTCTCAGCGCATTATTTCGCGCAAAGACGCAGCGAAATGCTCATTATAAACGCATTGGCTCGCGGTTTATGCAGCGAAATGTCCAGAAAAAACAAAAACAAAAAAAATTTTTTCTCAACGCATTGGTTCGCGCAAAGACGCAGCGAAATGCTAAGTAGAAACAAACGCATTGGCTCGCAGTTTTCGCAGCTGAAAAACAAAATAAAACAAAATAAAAATTTTTTCTCAGCGCATTATTTCGCGCAAAGACGCAGCGAAATGCTCAGTAGAAACGCATTGACTCGCGGTTTATGCAGCGAAATGTCCAGAAAAAACAAAAACAAAAAAATATTTTCTCAACGCATTGGTTCGCGCAAAGACGCAGCGAAATGCTCAGTAGAAACAAACGCATTGGCTCGCAGTTTTCGCAGCTGAAAAACAAAATAAAACAAAAAAATTTTTTTCTCAGCGCATTATTTCGCGCAAAGACGCAGCGAAATGCTCAGAAAAAAAAAACGAATTGGCTCGTGATAATAATAAAAAAAAAACCATAAATTCCATCAATGAATGGATCTCGACTCTCGCATTGTTAAACAACGCGGCAAAATGTGAAAAATGATGTGAATTGCATTATTGATTTTGAACCTCTGGAAATCCCTGATTGAGTTTCATTTATTTATCGTGATATGTCCAGAGTTGAGCAGAATATTATTTTCAAATCAGGTATCCCTTCATGACTAAAAAAAACTTACACATGTAAGTTTCAACTTTTTCTATTCATGTTTTACATATATTTTATATTAAATCTACATACTTATTAAAATTTCATAAAAAGAATACCGTTCTGGACTTGAGCATTTCAATAAGCGAAGGAAAAAGAATTTACAATAATTCTCTTAGTAACGGCGAGTGAAGAGGGATAAGCTCAAAATTTAACAGAGTTGAAATATTTTCAGCGTTTTGGATTAGTTTGAGAAAAGGTATCATGGAGGGTGAAAATTCCCGTTCATGGTTAATCTTAAAGATTCTTCTACGTAGAAGAGGCAAGTTTTTTGGGATTGCAGCTCAAAATTGGGATGTAAATTTCTCCTAAAGCTAAATATTGGCGCGAGACCGATAGCGAACAAGTACCGTGAGGGAAAGATGAAAGTAATCAAAATTCAGTAAGCATTGGATTTGATCCCCCGCTAAAAAGGGTTTTGGACTGTCGTGAGACAGGTTAGCTATAATACGAGGGGAATTGCACCTGCCTAATAGGATCATGGTGTAAACACCTCTTAAATAGTAGTCACGCTAGAACGTGGCATTAGTTGAAGCCTTTGAGCTTCAGGATTATATCATTGGGTTATAATGTTTGAGACGGGAAAAGTTTATCATTTTCCCGTGTGGATTGTAATTTCTTAATGTTGGGTTTAGCAGTAAAGTAATATATTTTTGTTACATCTGCCTAGTAAACAGGAGTGAAATAGTCGGATATAACATTTATTTTTCATCTTATTGTTTTTCGTGCTATTATTTTAGATTTGGTGTCAAATCACGTTTATTATTTAAATAAAAGAAATAAAAGATCAATTTTGACCATATTTTTGTTTTTTGACTTTTTTTCAACTTCCGATTATTGATTTTTAATATGGACCTTGTAGAGTCTACTACAACTACATCCTCCGGATTAACTATTATTCGTCTAAAACGCAAGCGAAATGAAGAGCCGTTGGACGCGCTTGGTATTTAAATAACACTTACTTCTCCCAAAGTAGTTTCTTCAATTATTCATTTTCATTATTATAGACAAAGCCATCACTTTTTAGTTGTCCAACAACTTCTTGAGAGTGGAAAAAAGAAGGTTAAACGTAATGACAATGAAACGAAATCTGAAACTAAAGTCGAAGAGAATCTGAAAGTTGAAACTGTTGAAAACGTGAAAGGTATTAAGCACGTTACTTACGTTGAGTAACTGCTTGACCGAACTATTAAAATATATTCAACTTATTTTTTATTTTGAGTAGAGTTAGAGAAAGCAGAGCAAAAAAAATCAATACCATTCATATTTCGATTCGCAAAAACAGTTGAAGAGATTAGCTTTAATGATTCAACTAAGACGCAACAATTGAAAGTATGTTATTTTTGGATTTTTTTTAAAAAATAAGAATAATCATGTTCATTTAAGAATAATAAATTCAACATCTAGGATCATATAGTGAAATTAATAAGTCGTAAAGATATCTTAAAACATAAAGGAATTGATACTAAGCAAATTCGGGAAGAACAAATCGCACGCTTCAATGAAAGTGGTCGAAAAGAAAGATATAAAGTAATTGATAGAAATAGACAAAAGAGCAGCAGCACATTGGTCACATCGGGGTAAAGCAATTTTATTTTTTTTATAAATCAGTCAAAATTGCTTGTATAAATACTTGGAAAAACAAAACCAATATTCTAGTATGTAAACAAAACAAATCAGTGCAATATTGGTATCCAACTCATAATGGCAATCGTAATATTTTCTAATTTGATATTTTATTGATTCGTCTCATTCATCGGTTTTTAAAGTGATGACGTCGAAGATGAAGACGAGGTTACTACGAACCTATTTAATATGTATGACGCGGTTAAGGAAAGCGAATCACTTACTGAACCAAAGTTAGTAAATTTTTATTTAAATCGTTTACAATATTTTTGGATGATAACGAATAAATAAATATTTGATTCCTTAGATTTGTTGAGAAAAATGATATTGATTCTGAAATCATGTGTAATTTTATTCCTATGGTGCGACAATATCTTTCACGTATGTATATTAATTACGTGTATCACTGAAAAATTCACATAAGCTAATATCATTTCATTTTAGTTCAAGAACAAATCGATAAAGAAGGTTCTGATGAAGCTTATGTTTATGATGTGTACTACCGGGATGATGCCATGGATTTAGATGATCGAATGAATTTCAATAAAATCGCTACATTGTACGTTTGGTTTAAAAAGATTTATTTCTCTCGTCATTATTTTGTTTATGTTGAAATATATACTTTTTTCGTAGGACGTGGTTTAATGATAATGGGAATGAATTATTTGTTAACGAATCGGATGAAAAGGATGAGATTGTTTATTCCGATGAAGAGGATTCTAATGGTTTATATAATACTTAATTATTCATCATTTACATATATAAATTTGGCTGAAAAAATGAATCATGTACAAATTTTTTTTTTTATGCAGCCGAAGATTATTATACTCATGATTATCCTGATGAAGATGAAGATGAAGCTTGGAGCGTACAAGGTATGTTTCATAATAATTATTATTTGACAATAATAGTTTCACATGCGAACATTTAGTAATTTATTTTTTTCGTTTATATTTTAGAAGAATATACTGATGACGACGCAGATCGTTATTATTGAATTTACTGATTTATATAACTAAACTAAACAAATATGATATATACTTGAAAAATATACTCATGCAAAGAATTTTATTCTTTTTATAAAGGTAATTGAAATGTATATTTTTTATACATGTTGACGAATTATGATTGAAAAGATAGATGTCAATTAACAACTAATTATTTGTTCTAAGTTGCATAGAATTATTAAAGAGGTGTCCACTTAAATTATTTGCAAATTCATACGTCAAAGTGATGAATGATGTAAAGATTGAAGATATTAACACAAACTATTAACACAAAGCAATACAATAATAATAGTAATAATCTATATTTCCAGCTGAAAAAAAATCCTCACTTCTATTCAGATTCAATAAACTACTAGTGCATTATTACAGTATAGTAAATAGTAACCTTTCTGAGAATGTTCAATTGTTGATTGATTACTTGCACCTTTTTTTAATTTAACTACTTGAATAACCTCTACCCAAATCTTTATCTCGTTTAAGATCTCCTTCAATGACGCTTCTCGACATGGGAGATTCTACTTCTACATCATTTCCTGCCTTTTCTTTTGCCTTCCTTTCCAAGTCTTCGATTTCTTGATCATGAACTCGTTTAAGATGCGCAATAGCCAAGGTTTCAATTACTGTTAATGCAAAATACGCCAACATTATATTAAAAAGTACATTCCAGGCGATAGATATATAACTTGGACTACCCTAAAAAAAAAAAAAAGTTGCAAAATCTTGATTAATAAACCAAGTACGTTATATAGAAAATTTTAAAAATGAGCCTAAAGAACGTACCGGACTAATTTCAGGAGCAACTTCACCCTCTTCACGTCTTAGTATTTTAGTTTGCTTCTGAACGACACTTTCGAGTTTGTCATGTATAGTTGGTAAGTAATTTTGTGTAAGGTCTAAGATAGTGTTAATCATATCTTGAGAAAATAATAAAATTACAAAAATAGTCTGAAATAGATTTTTTTTCCCACCGAAATAAAGGAATATGAGACATTACGAAAGAAACAATAAAAATAAATATTAAATAAGGAATGAAAATAATGATAAATACCTGAATAGAAGATTTTACTACGGCTTTTCCTAAGAATGTTGCCCCAAAAAATGTTGAAAATGGGACCAAAAATTGCCCACAAATTATGCCTGCAAGATCGAATAAAGGATTTGGAATCTAATTTTTTGCGAAATAATAAATCATGAATGACAATTCAACAACAAAACACCGTTTCGACTTTATTATAACACTCACTGAAGCGAAGATAAATATTCCAAAAAATCCCAATCTTTGCATAATCCGATGAACCCATATAAGAACTTTTTCCTTATGTGATATACTATCAGGATTTTGAGCCATTAAAGTGTCAATCTGCTCTAATTCATCACTACGACTACCTGATAAAGCAGCTAAAATATCATATATAAATGAATTATTACAAACATAATCAACTTTAAAAAAATGGATAAAATAATGAAATCTTCTCTAACCTGCTCTTGCTACGAAGTATGGCGGTAATTCACCCAGTGCGGTACCAAATCCCCAAAGAAAAGATTCCCATTGAACTTTATGAAATATGCTCCATAATGATACTGCAAAAGAGGTTGGTACGGAAGGCATGCATCGAAATCTTTAAATTAACATATTCCTCAATATTATGATACTAATGAAGCAAATACTAAAAAATTCCAAAATAAAAAATCACAAGTCAAAATATTTACCTATGAGGACCAAAAGTTTCAAAATCCAGGTTCCCACACTTATAAGCAGCCCAAGTTACTTCTGCAATATGAGGGCCTAAAAACAATACAAATGTGTGTAGACCAGTGCCAAGGCCTATTGAAGAAGCGATTCCCAAACCAATCCAGTAACAATACCAAAAGATATAAGATTGAACTTGATATATCACCTAAAAGTAACAGCCAAACCCCAGATCGGTCAATTAAGTTCACTTGAATAATAATCAACAAATGTGATTAAGATATAATTACATTTTGATGTTCTCCATCTATCAATAATGCAAATTGAATCAAGATTCCTAATAAAGGTATGGATGTTATAACCCATTTTCTTAATTGTGCATATTCCACAGCTGATTTGACTTGCTGAATCAAATACGCCAAGAAGTAAGTTATCACAAGAACAGGCGAAGTGTATAATGAAACAGTGGAACGCTGCCTTTCTAACAAATTACGCCGTCTCTTTACAAAATCTAAACATTCAAATCTATCAGTTATCATTGCGTGAAAAAAAAAAGGTTAACGATCAATAAAACAAACCATCAAAGCCTTCTTTCTTCACGTTAGTCTTTCTTAATATACTAGGAGAAACAAGTCGATCATCGTCAGTAGAACCACCTTCACTAGCTGAATCATCAACATAAAGTCCTCCAATACTCCTCGATCGCCTTTGCCTTGATTTATTAAATCTTTTCCATTCATTCCTTTTTTCCACATGGTTACCCGTCGGTCCCGGCGACTCTGAAATTTCAATGGCCGGAACTTTTCTACTCACAAAAAAAAAGGCATGTTAATATCTAATAATTTCGATGATGAATTATAACGAACCAATATATTTGTTAAAAAAATAAAATGATAATAATTAACTTACAACTCTGAATTATTTATCGTTTTGTTTTCCATTAGAGACTTTATGGTCTAATATTTAACGAAAAAAGCATTAAGTAAAAGAACCGTGAAATGTCTTTTAAAATACACGAAAAACATATGATAAAATTTTACTTTATTATCTTACAAACCTGATTAGAATATTAAATATTAGACGAAGGAATTTAAAAATTTCTTTTTAACACCAAAATCTAATATATATCTAAATGGACCGCAGCAGTTGATAACATCCGTCCTATCAAAAGAACTTTAATGGTTACGCGAAAAATTGTATTCTAGGACTTGCGGCCACGTGTCAAATTTTCATTAGATAATTGAGGTATAAAAATAACCATAATACGTAACCATTCCAATTTCACGTGGCTGTACATGACTAGCTTGTACTTTTCAATGAGATTAGGAATTTACTGCGCCCAACTGGCGCGAATAAAAATTTTCATATATTAAATATCCTCAAGTGTTATATAATAACTACCGAAGTAAAGTCAAAAGTTACAGATAAAATGTTTACCACGAAGTCAAATCAATCTATATTGAAGTTAGCGGGCACACCCGTAAGAACGAACACAGTCAGGAACAGCAAGATTGTAGTAATAGCTAATTGAAATGCTTGAATGATAGCACTGTCGCAAGGGACAAAATCCGACTCCAGTAATCATGGAAGATAATTTTGTGGAAAAAAAAACATGTAAAAGGAGCTGTTCCAAAAGACAGTTGTGTAAAATAAAGCAAAACAAGCAAAGCTACAGAATTAATTATCTTTGAATCATGTTACATATCCCGCAGTAAGCGCATGCAATTTCTTAAAATTTGCAAAGTTGCCCGATGACCGCATGTGAGGCTTAAGATCGTTGGTCGAACACAATGATAGATCACTCCTTGTACCCACGATGATGTCATTTTCGCGTGTAGGTAGGAATTTCATAGGCTTTGATCTTTCCATCGATTAAACGATATTGTAAAAGAACTCAAGATATGTTTCAAGTGTATTTCTTTTTCGATAATAATTTCCATAAGTTTCACTTCTTTACTGTTCGATGGCAAGCAAGTGATGCCTTGCCTTGCAAAGTCAAATTTTAGCACCAATAATGGATAAATCATCGTATTGCTTTTCTACCATAACAGTAATTCGAAACATATAATCTGTCATATAATATCGATTATTAATCGGTTTAGGCAAAGTCCTATTATGCTTGTCAAAATGATATTGATAACGAACTCTGAAATATTTAAATATTATGCTATAGAGAAACATGCTCGAAGCCAGTGTAAAATTGCTGGAAGGCGCGACACGTCTCAATGTAATTTTGTTTAATTATATACAAGTTCAAAAATGATCTTTTTTTTTAATTTTTTCTCAATATTATAAATAAACCTTGATTTTAAAAAAATGCATATAAATAAGTTCATTAAAAGGATTCGCATTAAAATAATTAAAATTACTACTAATTTAAATATACAAAAGTTAATTTCATTTTAATGTTTAATCACCAATAGGTTTTTTTGTCAACAGTTGTTGGATTTAATTTATTTTTGGGAGGTTTTTAGATCTTTGAAATTGATCTTTGAGATAGTTTGTACTAATGAATTTGAATAGCATGAATCGTGAAATTTTACAAGTTGAATTTTAAAATGCTTAACCTTTTTTTTTTACCACAAATTGGCGTTTCTACGCAATTATTTTGCGTACTATTTATTATTCTAATATTTTTTACTAGCAATTTTTACATTAATTGAAGTTGTTTTTTATATATAAAAATTCTTCATAAAGAAAATCAATAGCTCCTTATTCGTTATTTTTTTTTAAAAAAATATTGACTCATGTATGTTAAACATTGTTCTTTGAAAAAGTTGTATTGAATATAAAGAAAGTTTATTTGTGAAATATGAAATTATCGATAAAGATCTTCAGTTACTCATTCTAATTAAAGTTAATTACAGAATTAGGTAAAATAATCACGTGATATTATAATTTATGTGAAAATTTAACCAATCACAGAAAAATTAAGTAAGGAGATGATCGGCAACCCAACGCGTTCAACGCACTGATCTGTCAAAACAATTGCTAATTATATAATTAAAGAGTTTATTTACACGTTTTGTACCAGCAGTTTAAACTTGAAATGACGAGCGAAACAAAAGTTCTTTGTGTTGCTGAAAAACCTTCAGTAGCCAAGGAAATATCTAAAATATTGTCAGGAAACTGTTTTGTAATGAGAAATTCCAGAATCGCTTACATTAAGAACTATGAATTCAAATGTCAGTTAAATAGTAAAGAAGTACAAGTAATAATGACCTCAGTTTGTGGTCATATCAATGCACTTGATTTTCCTTATCAATATGCCAAATGGGAAAGTTGTTCACCAGCCGTTTTATTCGACGCGCCTATTGTAAAAAAAATCATCGACAACGAAAACGCGGAATCTATACGAGATAACATTTTTAATATAGCGCATTCCGTAACTCATTTGATGATATGGACCGATTGTGATCGAGAAGGCGAAAAAATCGGTTCGGACATTAAAGATATTTGTGTCATGGCAAATGCTGGGATTACCGTATCACGTGCGAGGTTTTCGGCAATTATACCAACACAAATTAGGCAAGCATGGGAATCACCCGCACTACTTGACATAAATCAAGCTGAAGCGGTTAGCGCAAGAATGGAATTAGATTTACGTATTGGATACGCGTTTACAAGGTATCAAACATTGGGTTTTAAACAAATTTTTCCGGAACTTGGAAGGGAAAAAGTATTAAGCTATGGTTCATGTCAATTTCCAACTCTTGGTTTTGTGGTTGAAAAATATAAAGCTGTTGAAAACTTTATTAGAGAATCATTCTGGAAAATACATGTAAAAGCCGAAAGAGATAACATAACGGTTGATTTCAATTGGGAAAAAGACAAATTATTTAATGTAAATTGTTGTAATGCGATATATCGTGATTTGATTATGGAAGAACCGATAATAGCTCATGTTATACAAGTTGGAACCAAAGAAACGAAAAAATATAAACCATACCCATTGACAACGGTTGAATTGCAAAAAGCGGGATGTCGTTTTTTACATATTTCATCTGATGAAATCATGAAAATTGCCGAAGATTTATATAATAAAGGTTTCATAAGTTATCCAAGAACGGAGACTGATCAATTTGATGATCATAATTTTAACTTTCAAGAATTGATTCAAGCGCAAACGCAGGATCAAAGATGGGGGGATTTTGCGTCAAACTTGGTTGATAAGAGAATAACTACAAAGAAGGGTAGACACAATGATCAAGCTCATCCTCCAATACATCCAGTACAGTATGCTTCGGGATTAAGTGGCAAAGAAAGAACGGTTTATGAATTTGTCGTTCGTAGATTTTTAGCTTGTTGCTCTGAAGATGCTAAAGGAAATGAAACAACTGTTAAGATCAGGATTAAGGATGAATATTTTACCGCCAAGGGACTTGTGATTTCAGATTATAATTATTTAGATGTATATCCTTATGATCGTTGGAATGATAAAAATCTTCCAAATTTCGTCCTTCATGAAACGTTTACACCAAAGGAATGCACGATGGAAGAAGGTGAAACGTCACCACCAGAGTATTTAACTGAGGCGGAACTGATCAACATTATGGATAAAAATGGGATAGGCACTGACGCAACGATTCACGAACACATCAAAAAAATTATTGATCGTGAATATGTTGAAAAACAATTTCATGGAAACAAAACTTATTTAATTCCAACTAATTTGGGGCTTGCCCTTGTTGAAGGATATGATTCGATCGACTTAAATGAATCTTTAACCAAACCTCTCTTAAGAGCAAAGATGGAACAAAACCTAAAACAGATATGCGAATCGACACGAGAGAAAAGTGATGTATTGACTGAAACCATTAACAAGTATAGAGATATGTTCACAATGACTCATAATAATTTGCAACGTCTGGTGGAAGGATTTGCGAAATATTTTACTTTGAACTCTGAATCAAATGATGTACATAGGATTTTTAATAATATAGTTAATGTTGAAAATCCAAAGGTAGTCCGATGGTGTCGGGAATCTCAAGTTTCTAGGCCTATGTATTTGAAAAATATCCAAAGCAATTGGATCATATCGTGTATTGATTTTCCGAATTGTAGCCATGGTTTCTTTTTTAATAACTCCAGTTCAATAAAAAGTATTACAACTAACAGTGAAATATGTACAATATGTTCGGGTAATGATTCGCCTATTCATTACCTTACTGTAGTGTTACGCAGCAATAGGATCAACAGGGGTTGCTTTGGGGGTTGTGATGATAATATGGATATGCTACTATCAAAGAGCAGTGGTACCAGCAACAGACCAAATGATGGTGGAAGTAGGCGTGGTTCACGTAGTTCCCGTGGTACCAACGGTGAAGAGGCTGTTCGTGGTGGAACTCGCGGTACCCGCGGTTCTCGCGCGACTAGAAGGGGTGGATACAATGGAGGTCGAAGTTCTCGAGGTCGTGGTCGTGGAGGTCGCGGACGTGGTCGTGGTCGTGGAAATCGAGGTGGACGTGGTAGTGATAATCATGGTAATGGATGAGGGATGAGATAATCATTATAGATCATCATAGATATAAATAATTAAAATAGAAACATTGACATTAATTTTATATTTAATACTTCTATTTTTTTTAAAAAAAAAAAATTTTTTTTATTCTAAAAACGACTTTGTAATGATCGGGAGCGAATCATTTTTTTTCCCGCCAAAAAAATTTGTTTTCTTGTTATCTCAGAATCTGGTTGACGAATCGTTTGGTGAATGACAAATCAGATTTGACAAATCATTTAAATGGCGATCTTTTGACAAATCACTCTGACAAATCATTTAACTTCCCTTAAACTTTATTTGAACAAAAAAAAAGTTAGAATTCACTGTTCTTCTTCCTTTCAAGATCTTGGTTAGTGTGCCTTTTATTTTTGAAGTTTTATTTTTACACATACCTTTTGTAACAAATATATATATATTAAAAAAAAAAATACGCAAAAAAGTAAATAAAATTTAAAATAAATATCATTTAAAAATTTTTTTTTTTTTTTTTTTTGACCTTATTTTATTTTAGAACGTGCTTTTTTACTTTATAGGTTTTAAAAAAAAATAAATACTAATACAATCGATTCTTCGTTTGAATAAATAGTTGAATTTTGCCATTCTAGTAAATTATTTATAAATAACAGGCAATAATTTAGACCGTATGGAGGTAAAAAATATATATATTGGAACGCAATTATTAATGAGTTTATCAACATAATAATGACTAGTTATATCAAATCTACGCGACTTATCTTCTTTATATTTAACTTGGGTTCAGAGCATTCTGGATTTCACACAAGAATTTGACGTCGATAAGCTAGACGATGTCGTTAGGGCGTTTTACACAGGAGTTGGAGAAGAGGTTCACATTACTATTTTTTTTTTTAATTACATTTGATTTTTTAATTTAATGTATGTTACTAATAGAGGATTTCTTTTCGAATAATATTTTATTTTAAAATAGCAAAAAAGGGCACAAACAGTGCTAACTCAGTTTCAAAATCACCAGGACGCTTGGTTAAAAGTTGATACAATATTAGAAAAGTCCAAATTTACTCACACCAAGGTTTCTTTGTCCTTCTATTTGTAATTTGATATTACATTTTAATAGTAATTTGATAATTTGATTTCTGATCATATTCAAATCTATTTAGTTTATCGCTCTTCAAATCCTCGAAAAGTTGATCCAGCAAAAGTGGAAAATTCTTCCTCCCGAACAACAAGCGGGTATGTATTATTTATGATAAAAAAATACTCTAATATAATTTATTTGCTTAACTTATTAAATTATGAAATATAATTAACAGGAATTCGTAGTTTCATCGTTAATATTATCGTCGCTACATCTGACAATGAACAAACACTTCGAAGAGAAAAAACTTACTTGAGCAAGCTTAATTTGATCTTAGTTCAGGTAATTAAAAAGTAACTGGATCCCGATGTTTTGAATCTTTATTATCGCACTTGGCTAAATTTCTTATTTAATTAGATTCTTAAACAAGAATGGCCTCATAACTGGCCACAATTTATTCCGGAAATTGTTAGTACTGGTAGATCTAATGTGACAATTTGCGAGAATAACATGGCCATATTAAAATTGCTGAGGTTAGAAAAAAAAAAAAAATATAATGGGTGTTTCGTTTATAAATGATATGATTCTTACTTTTTATTATTTTCTTATTAAGCGAGGAAATTTTTGATTATTCGGCCGAACAGATGACACAGCTCAAAACAAAGAATTTAAAGACGCAAATGTGTCATGAGTTTTCTAAAATATTTGAGCTTTGTAATGAAGTATTAGAAAAAGCGCATCAACCAAGCCTAATAAAAGCAACCTTAGAAACCCTTTTGAAATTTTTAAATTGGATCCCTTTAGGTTACATTTTTGAAACAAATATTATAGAGAATCTACGGACAAGGGTAAATTTTACATATTATTTCCAATTAACGATTACTATGACTTACACTTTTTTCTGAAATAACCTAATTATTTATTTTTACATAGTTTTTGGAATCTCCAGAATATCGAAACGTAACGTTGAAATGTTTGAGTGAGATAGGAGCGTTAAATGTAAGCCACGAGTACGATGATAAATTTATAGCCTTATTTAATATGGTTGTCACGGCTCTCGAAACTATGGTACCGGTTTCTGCAGGTATAAATTTATCTTATGGTTATATGTTTATATAATTTAGTTAATTTCGATATTATAATCTTATTTTTCTAAAATTTTACAAAAGATTTTTCCATGATATACAAGAGTAGCAGTAATGAAGAACAAGAATTTATTCAGAACTTGGCTCTGTTCTTCACAGGCTTTTTGAGTTTTCATCTTAAGGTACAAAGCTTCAAGACCCGGTCTCTTTATTGGAAAGTTGAGAAATGAATTCACAATAGCTCAATATACCGGATTGTTCTGTAGATCATGGAGTCTCAGCAGAACAATCAGCCTCTTTTAAAAGCCCATTATTACCTTCTTAGAATCTCGCAGGTCGAAGAACGCGAAGTCTTCAAAGTTTGCTTGGAATATTGGACCAAATTGGTAAAGGATGCGAAATCTTATTTGTGAAATTATGTGATAACTTTTAGGATATTGATACCTTTCTGTTAATTAATATAGGTTGCCGAATTATACGAAGAAATACAACAATTGCCTGTCCTTGATATGCCTCTTCTTTCTCTTGCTGGCGTATCATCTCCGCCTTCTACTCTTGCCAATATTCCATTGAGGAAGCATATGTACAACGAAATATTAACAACTCTAAGGGTCATTATGATTGATCGCATGGTAAAACCCGAAGAGGTAAGTCTGTGTATCGACAAATAGCATTCGTTATAATAAATTTGATACTAACGTCATTGCCTAGGTTCTGGTAGTCGAGAATGATGAGGGTGAAATCGTGCGTGAATTTATGAAGGACAGTGACACCATTACATTATACAAGAGTATGCGTGAGTGCCTAGTATATTTGACACATTTGGATGTTCAAGATTCAGAAATAATCATGTCAAATAAGTTAACTAAACAGGTAAGGTATTTTGCATATTGTTTTTCTTAATATCGTTAAATTCATTATCTTGATGATTCTAGATTGACGGTTCCGAATGGTCCTGGAATAACTTGAATAAACTCTGTTGGGCCATTGGATCCATTTCTGGTGCAATGAGTATGATGATCGTTTCATAATTATGATTTTGTTCAGTCGCGTCGGTATGTTTGTCTTGATATCATTCTTTTAACTTTGTAAATTATACAGATGAAGACACGGAAAAAAGGTTTTTGGTAACGGTAATCAAAGAACTTTTGAGTCTTTGTGAGCAGAAACGTGGTAAAGACAACAAGGCTGTAGTTGCTTCGAATATCATGTATATCGTCGGTCAATACCCCCGTTTTCTCAAAGCACATTGGAAGTTCTTAAAAACGGTTGTTAATAAACTCTTTGAATTCATGCATGAAACTCACGAAGGTATTGGAATCAATTATTGTTAAGGTAGAGAAAATTTAATAATACAATTTAATAATAACCACATTATTCTTACATAGGTGTGCAAGATATGGCTTGTGATACCTTTATTAAGATCGCCCAGAAATGTCGGCGTCAATTTATCTCACAGCAAGCAGGGGAGAATACCCCATTCATAGATGAAATTATAAGTGGAATCGAAACCATTACAAAAGATTTGTCACCACAACAGGTGAGCTTTATAAATCATCTGATTGAAACGCAAGTTATTAATAAATATTAACACTTATTTTGTTATGTTAATTCGTCGTTAGGTTCAAACCTTTTATGAAGCCGTGGGCTATATGATTTCAGCACAGACAAATAAAAATGTACAGGAACGACTAGTGATGAACTATATGGAACTTCCCAATCAAGGAGTGAGTAAATTTACTACATACATTCATCCGTTTGAGGTAAACTTTAAAGAGTGTATATTTATATGTATCTATTTATTTAGTGGGATCGCATTTTGGAAGACATCTCAAAAGATATAAACGCGCTACATATTGCCGAGAACACCAAGATTCTTGGACATGTTCTCCGAACAAATGTGGCAGCATGCAATGCAGTTGGAAGTGGATTTTCTGTACAAATAGCTAGAATTTATGTAAATTTATTAGAGTTGTATAAAGCTGTTAGTCGCATTATTTCTGATACTGTTGCGACAGAAGGTAAGGGTTTATTAATGTATTCTCTTATCTCACGCGGAATTATATTAATTATCTATTAATGCAGGTCTCATTGCAACGAAAACACCTCGCGTGCGTAACTTGAGAGTAATAAAGAAAGAGACTTTAAAGTTGATGGAAGTTTACATAACTAAGTCTGAAGAAACAAGTCAAATCATAACGCACTTAATGCCACCATTGTTATCAGCAGTGCTCATCGATTATAATACTAATGTCGAACAGGCAAGGGATGCTGAAGTTTTAAGTTCAATGGCGAATATTATAGCAAAATTGGGAGTGAGTCGTCTCAACCTTTTTATTTTATTTTATTTTTTAAAAAAAAAAATTACCATATATTTTATATCCTATAATTAAAATATTTTATGCATTTAGCCCGGAATCACGAACGAAGTCCCAGCAATTCTTAATGCTGTATTTGAGTGTACGTTGAATATGATAAACAAAGATTTCTCAGAATATCCCGAACATCGTGTAGGGTTCTTCAAATTGCTTCGAGCCATTAACCAACACTGCTTTCCAGGTATTTAGTAATTTTATATCTATTTGTTCAATTAATCATTTATTTATTGATCTACTAATATTTTTTTTTTTGTTGCAGCACTTCTAACTTTACCGCCAGCTCAATTTAAACTTATAATGGATAGCATTGTTTGGGCATTTAAACACACAATGCGAGATATTGCTGACACGGGTCTTAATATATGTTTAGAGTTGATAAATAATATTTGTATGCAAGATCCCGCTACTGCCAACATGTTTTATCAGCAATATTTCCTAACTCTAGTAGCAGATGTATTGTTCGTCTTGGCAGATACAGATCACAAGAGTGGTATGTTAAGGATTTATCTTACGTATATTTCTACATTTATCACTGATTATATACTTTATTTAATAATTTCTTTTTTATTTTTAAAAGGATTCAAAATGCAGTGTAGTGTTCTTCAACGAATGTTCAACCTCGTTGAAACTGGTGCGGTACAATCTCCATTGTTTAATCCTACTGAAGTTCCAGACCCCAACATGACAAATCAACGGTTTTTGAGAGAATATGTGATGAATATATTGCAAAACGCATTCCCTCATTTACAAAGGTTTGAATAAATTTTTAATTTTTTGTTAAATTTTTTGTTAAATTTTTTTTTTTAAAAAAAAGTATTCACTCTCAAATCTCATCAAATGTAGTGTCCAAGTTCATTCCTTTGTAATAGGGCTTTTTGAACTCAATCAAGACAACACTAAATTTAAACTACACTTGCGTGATTTCCTAATCCAGCTAAAAGAATTTGCTGGTGATAACGCTGATCTATATCTTGAAGAACGTGAAGCGGAAGCAGAACAACGAAAGAAAACTGAGATGGAGAATGCTTTGAAGATTCCGGGTCTCGTTAAACCTTCAGACCTTCCGATGGAAGATGAATAATAATTAGATTCATTAACATCTTAGAAATTTATCTAAACAATTCGAATAGAATTTTCAAATGAAAACTTGTAAACATATTATTAAATGACGATTAAATATCTATTTTAACCCAACCGTATTAATTATAAATATAATTTCACGAGTGTATATTTTGTGATCATGGGAATAATTTTCTGTACTTGTTTGGCTAGAGTGGTCTATTCAAGTTTATACAATATAATAGTTGATGAATTAACGCAAAAATATACAGTATATATACACTAGCAGTTTTTACAGGTCGTGATTTCACCAACGCAATGTGAAAATCAAATTTTTCTAAACAAAATATATCAAAATTTTTATAGTTAATATATAGATTAACTCTAACTTTTCATGATTATTAAATAACCTAACCCTCACTTTAATTCTAAATTAATGGTAAAATAACCTAAATCTTACCTAATTCATTGATGTTGATTAATAAAATAACCTAACCCCTAATCCCTAATCACTAATAACTAATCCTAATACTAATTCTAACTTACTAATTTCAATACTAATTCAAAGTTAAACCACTTAATTTAATAAATAAGTATATATAAATTGGTTATTTATAAAATTATTATAAAATAATAATATAAGCTAATAATTTTTATTGATTTAAATTAAAGGTTATATTTTTTTTGAATAATCATTTTTCGGTTCTTTAATAATTTTAGTTTTATAATAATCATTTTTTGGTTTTTAATAATTGGCTTTTAGTTCTCTAATAATCAGTTTTTATTTTCAAATTATTTATTGATTCTATAATAATCTTTTTTGATTCTCTAATAATTTTTCAGTTTTTAATAATAATCATTATATAATAATCAGTTTTAGTTTTTTAATAAAATTTTCAGTTGTAATAATTGGTTTCAGTTCTCTATTAATTTGTCAGTTTTATATGATTTTAAATTAAAAAATTAATTTATATCATTAGCAGTGATCATCATCGGTATTATATGTTATATGTTTATATTGTATTTGTTATTTATCTATATAACATATACAATTTGTTATCTTGTATCACATCTTTCTGTTTTTATTTTTATTATATATTCTAAGAACTTAGAATTTTTCATTGCTAAAAATTATTTGTTTCATTCTATCCTTAAATATTACCAATTACATATTGATAATAATTACTATTAATAGAGTTCCTCAAAATCAAATCAAATCAAATATGATGCAGAAAGTCTATACTTAACTATAAAAATGTAATACTAAAAAATCTTTCAAGATTTTTAAAAAATAAAATTTTATTTTTTATGATAAACTCTATTAAATTACCAGTTAGATTTTATAAATAAGTTCTAGATAAAAAGTTATAAATGATTAAAGTTATATAATTTTATATGATTAGCTCAAATTTGAAATAAAATCAAATTATGTGAACATGATTTAATTAGTCAACACTAAGGTTGCTGGATGAAATCAAGAGTTTAGACAGACGTCTAAATAATAAAAGTAAAACTTGGTTAAATTATATTAAAACCTTATAAAAAATCTGCAAAATTTGGAAAAAGGTAAAACTATATCAAAGTTTATAAAAATGGCGAAACCATATCAAACACTTAGTAAACATTTAGATAAACTAAAGGTTTAACCATTTTGCCAAATCCAAAATAAGTTTAGACAAGCAACTCAAGTCAACACTTATAATAATTTAGGCTAACACTATAACAATTATAATACTAGCCTGAATTATGTATCATAATTAAATAAACTCAGAATCATTGATATATTATATATAATTTATTTTTGATTTTTAATTTACAATTAATTTACACTTAATATATTAAATGTTGATTACTTTTTTATTACTAATATTTGAAAAAGTTTAAAGAATATTAACTTAGCTTAATCAAATGCATATCAAATTCTTATATTTTAAGATCTCATTTACTTTTTCAGAAAGTATTGATTATGAGGAGATCTTGAATGATTATAAAAAAGTAGGTCTTTTATTTTCTATACATATGGTTATTAGCTATAAATTGATGTTGCAAAAATTACAAATCTCAGCTAAAATGAATAAGTAAGGGTCAATTAAAATCCAATGATTTACTGCAAATTATTCTAATTAAATCAAAAAAATGATTATTTATTTAATATGCATTAACAAATAAATACTGTCTCAATTAGTATTCTATATTATATAAATGTTATATATTAAATTAAAACAATTCAATATTAAATTTATCTTAAACATACTTAAAGATTAAAACTTAAGGTATATTATATAAAAATAATTATATAAAATATTCAAAAACATATAAGAAATATAATAATTATATAAAATATAAGATATACAGTAAACTCTTGATATAACGAACTTTAGGGTCTGAATCTCAACATTGTTATAAGTTTATAATAAATTTTTTAAAGAATTTAATTGGCTGGTTCACTTTAATAAGGTATATTTAATATATTTGATTTAAAAATTCGCTATATCAAGGGTTTATCAAGGTTTGACTATATATATAATTAATAAATATAATAAATATAAAAGATATATAGTATATTATAAAAGACATAGAAGTAAAGATGAGAACTGTAATTAATATGTTGTAACATATTTTGCAATTAGTTTTGACCTATATCAATATATGTTGCAACTAATTTTAATTTATGTTATAACATGTTATAAATTTGAAATTAATTACTGTATTATCTTTATATAGAAGACATATATAATATATTAGTCACTGTAGTTATATATGTTATTTGGATTATTTATGTCATCTTTATGTAATAATATTTATAATAAATTATATATAACTAAAATATATGTCTAATTAAATGTAGCTAAAATGTTTGTAATAAATGATTTAAAATTAAGATATTTTTTTAAAGATAATTTAATAAAACTTTATTTTATTTTTAAAATTTAACTGTTAATATATAATTGAAGTACTTCTATTGTAATAGTTAAATAATTATATCTAATTGCTATGAAATAGTTTAAAGCTTCTAATGAGTCGAGTCGAGTCGAGTTTTAAAGATAACTCGACTCAACTCAAAAAATTTGAGTCAAGTCAAGTCAAGTCAAAAAATTTTAAAACTCTAACTCAACTCAACTCGAGTTATACTTAAATTTGATTTGACTCAACTCGAGTCAAATAAAAACTCCCAAAATATATTTGCTGATTATATAAATAATAAATAATAAAATTATATTAATGTTTTGGAGGCTATTATCTAAAGATCTACCGATCAGAATTTCATGAAATCTGCACCATCGTGTTCGCCGATATGCGCTCATCAAAACGATATATGTTGCATTTCTAATGGATCACTGAACGCAGAGATATTCAAGAAAATGTGTTGAAAAATTGATTTTTAGCTTCGAACGCTATTATCTCGAGATCTACAGATCCGAATTTCGTGATATCTGCACTATCGTATTCGCCGAGATGCGCTCATCAAAATGATATGTATTGCATTTCTAACGGATCACTTGACACTGAGATATTCAAGAAAATGTGTTAAAAATATTCAATTAAAGCTTCGTAACTGATATATTTTCGAATTCCGGGATTGAACCAAATTGAGTTACATAAGATTCCAAATATAGATATATGGTTATACAAATCCTAAAAAGGAAATTTTTGGCTATCAAAATCACCAAAAATGAGTTACATGAAATTCCCAAAATGGTAATTCGTATAATATCAATTTACGTAAGTCAACTTGAGTCAACTCAAGTTGAAATGAGTCGAGTCAATTTATTGACTTGACTCGACTAATGACTCGACTCGAGTCAAATGAGTCGGAAATTTTTTGACTCGATTCAACTCAAACTCGAGTTAACTCATTTGACTCGTGAGTCAACTCGACTCATTAGAAACTCTAGAATAGTTTAGGATTGCTATTTAATCATAATCAAAATAACCAAATTGGTTTTCAAGTTTTAATCAGCCAATTATATATCAATATGATAATTTTAATTTAAACAAATTAAACAGCAATAATTTAATAACTAGTAATTGTAAAAAGATAAAATAAAACTTTATTATATTTATTATAATAAGTATTATTAATTAGGAAACAGGATGCATTCAAAGTCTGAAATATAGTAAATATCATATTTCACATGATTAATTATTTTGTAACACAAAAAAATATAACACGTGATAATGTAATCAAAATGTCATTAGTCTATCAGGCTTGCCGAATTTGGATAGACAGAACAACCTTGCATTTAAATGACCTAAAAGTAAAATATCCTCTGCTATGCTTCAGACAAAAGCAATATAATAAAAAATTTATAAGATATAGATAAATAATTATTTTAAAATATATTTAAATTGTAATTTTCTAATATATGTTATTTATTGTCTGAAGCATAGTATAGAACTTTTTACTTACACTTAAGACACTTAAGACCATGAATTTTTTGTCTATTACATTACATTTACTTCCCAATATAATTAACAGATCAAGTATAACATTTATTTCAAGTTTGATAATTCAATCATAATTTAAGATATAATATAATATAATTAATTTAACTTATGTTATATATATGTTATTTCATTTATTTTATTTGCATATTATATAATAAAATTTTAATTAATAATTTAATTAATTCATATTTTAAAATTATCATAGGAAAGGTAATTAATAGAAAAGAAGAAATCCAAATTTTGGTCAAAATTTATATTATTAGACTACTTAATTAATCTTGATTATATGGGCCTTTGCAATAGAAAAGAGGGAAACGACATAATATTAGTTTTTGAAATAAATGGGGATTTAGTAAATAAACAAATTACGCCATGTGTAATAAAAATAGAACATGTGATCTCCTCAAATCTTCAGATTTGGGAAAATAGTTTATCTGGCAGTTTCCCCCCTTTTTATTGCAATAGAAAGGGGTGACTGT